CAAAAATAAGGACTCTAGACAGGAAATTAAAGACAGAGAGTGAGGTGCAGTCAGAAGGCAGAAGGAACCTTTTTAATGGAACTGGAATATATGAGGTAGGGGCTTAACCACAAGTAGCAAGGCAAATCGCATTTACTAGAAATGAGGTACAAAGAGTGAACCCAGCAAGAAAATTATCTGGGTGCTGAGCCTCTAAACTAGGTCTAGGAGTCCTTATGTTTCCCCTGCCTGAAGACCATATGATTCCTAAAGCCTAGGATGGGCTAAGTCTTCAGAGGAAGTATGATGGGTCCAGGTATGGAATGTGAAAGGCTGCAGGGAAGGAAGCTAGGCCCCTCATTGACATGTAGTTGCTGAGGTGACCTTGATATGTCCCAATGGCAAAAGCTACCTGTAAGCATTACTTCTGAGAGCCCCCAATCACCTCCACATGACAGAGAAGCTTCAAAATAAAACATTCAGAAATTATTTAATATTAATAATCACTGGCACTTCAAATGTGTTACTTTTGTTTGCTTATACATTCTTTGATCCCCAGAATCTTTAAAAAGTGAAATTGGGCTTAAGGCATTTAATGGAATGGCAAATATTATTGTTGTTCAGTCGGGGGTTTTTTTAGTTGTATCCAACTCTTTGTGACCCCCTTTTGGGGTTTTCTTGGCAAAGGTGCTGGAGTGGTTTGCCATTTCCTTCTCCAGCTTATTTTACAGATGAAGAAACTGAGGCAAACAGGGTTAAGTGACTTGCCCAGGGTCACATAGCTAGTAAGTGTCTGAGGCCAGATTTGAACTCACAAAGATGAGCCTTCCTGACTCCAGGCCTAGCACTCTATCTACTGCACCCAGACCAACACACGAACTCATTTGCCCCAAGACCTTACCAGTGTCTAGAGATAGCATGATTCTGGCAGAGGCATTACTGTACCTACCAAATATGGTTACTTTCTAATGACAGTGCCAGATTTTTTGCTTTCCTAGGCACTTCAGCCTCAGGTAGTAAAATTCACAGAAGCCCTGTGAAAACTTGAGAAAAAGATCAGTTTAGAAGCAGTAATAGCAACTTTTATGGTCATAAAACACTGCCAACACTCACAATTTCATTTGATATTCATAGCAACTCTATGTACACATTATTATCCCATTTTACAGATGGAGAAACTAAAACCCAAAGAGGTTAAATGATTTGTATATACCTCAGAACTCAAACCCAGGTCTCTTCATTATGTGTTCAGTACTTTTTCCACTACATCACACTAGCTAACCAGTTTCATTGTCATGTTTACCTTTATTGAAAGGATGATCTCTGGGCCATAAGGAGACTAATTCATGGGACAGCTAGGTGGTGCAATGGATAGAGCATTGGCCCTGAAGCCAGGAGGACCTGAGTTCAAATCCCACCTCAGACCAAACATTTGACACTTACTAGCTGTGTGACCCTGGGCAAGTCACTTAACCCCAATTGCCTTAAAAAATAAAAAAAATAAGAGAGTAATCCAGGATAATTCAGTGTTTATACTGGAGCTACAGGACAATGAGGAGAAGAGCTGACCACGAGAAGTGATTAGCCAGGTTCCTCTTGCACTGTTTACAAAACTGCTTTGATTTTCAAACCACAGTCGGTTTTCAGATGGCTGATTAAAAACATGTGCCAGAAACTGAAGAAAACAAAACCAAAAAAATTGAGACCCAGATGTTTTGAAACATCGCTACATTTGCACAATGACCTCCATCTGCAGGTAGCGTGGCTTAGCAGTGTCCTCGCTCAATGGCACCTCGGCTAAGACCAGTCTTCTCATTTGACTTTCCTTCATGACCTCTCTAAAGAGCCATCAGCCAGACCCTTTTCCCTAGGCCTATGCATGTGACCAGCCACCATGCTGCCATATATACCTCTCCTCCCCTTTCTCCCCCCTCTAGCACCTCTTGATATGTTACCATCCTTCATTAATATATAAACTTCTTAATGTCAAGGAGCATCTGACTGGTTTGTGTTTATATCCCCAACCACTTAGCAAAGTGATTAATAAATCATCTATCTATCCTATAAATTAGAAGGTTTAAATTAGAATGACCTCAAAAGTCCCTTCCATTTCTAAAGTCTCATGCTCCTGTGATATTAAGAGTGACCCCCAACAAAACATATCACTGTGCAAATACAAGCTGATGATTTCAGCATATGAAGACATCACCATCCCTTACATTTCTTTATATAGTACTTAATCAATTACCAAAGCACTTTACTGTATCATTCTGTGTGATCCATACAGGCAGATCTCATTGTTATTCCCCTTTTCCAGATGAGAATGTTGACAGTGGAAGAAGTTGCACCTTGTTTGTCCAGCATCATGTGAATGATTAGCTGTGAAACTACACCTGGAACCTCATTCTCCTAACTCTCAGTCCAGGACCCATACCCCTTTTCCCTCCTACATCCGTTCCATGAAGAGGCCTCGTGGATGAAAGGCTGGGCTTAGAATAAGAGGGTGATGAAGTCAGAGACTCAGTGCTGGTAGAAGTCTTAGGGGTCATCTGGGGCTTACCAGACTCTACATAATCTGACCCCAATTCTAGCTCTCTTTCCATTATGCCATGCCTGCCATGCCACTGCCTTTCTACACAGGGGTGTGGTACAGTATGAAGTCTGGGGACCCAGTGTCGAATTCTACCTCCATGTGCTTAGTCATATGACACAGAGGTTGGAGCACCAGGCCTAGAGTCAAACACTTACCAGCTGTGTAACCCTGGCCAAGTCACTTAACATCAGCATGCTTCTTGGGACTATGTATTCCTTAGCCTTTCATTCTTTTCTTGCCCAGCCATCGCTGTCTCATAAAACCTAGTCCTCTAGGTGACCTAGTTTTTGTCAGAGTTCATCCTACAAAGACCTTTATTAAATAAATATAAACTAAAGAACAGAACTCTACATCCCAAGAGGACAGAGTAGGGAAGAAAGGAGCAAGGCAAAGGATCTAAGTTTCATAGAAACAAAGACTCTGGACAGGAAACTAAAGACAGAGAGGGAGGTGCAGATTCAGAAGGCAGAAACCTTTTTAATGGAACTGGAATATATGAGGTAGAGACTTAACCACAAGTAGCAAAGCAAATCCCACTTACTAGAAATGAGGTACAAAGTGTGAACCCAGCAAGAAAATTGTCTTGATGCTGAGCCTCTAAACTATGGATTTAGAAGTCCTTATGTTTCCCCTGCCCAAAGACTGTATACATCCTAAAGCCCAGGATGGGCTAAGCCTGCAGAGGAAGTATGAGTGGTCCAGGTGTGGAGCTTGAAAGGCTGCAGGGAAGGAAGCTAGGCCCCTCATTGACATGTAGTTGCTGAGGTCACCTTGATATGTCCACAAGGCAGTTGAAAAGATGAGCCTGGTGCTCAGGGGAGATATCCAGATTGGGCATCATCTGCATAGAGGTAAGAAATGAAGCTCTAGAAGCAGGTGTAACCACCAAGAGAGAAAGTGTAGATTCAGGGCAAAAAAGAAGTTGTGACTTGTCTGTCCAGGATTATGTGAACAATGAACTGTGAAGCTAGACCTAGAACCTCATTCTCCTAACTCTTGGTCCAGGACTGCGGCCCCTTTCTCTCCTATGCCTAAAGGCATAACCATGAGAGCACTCACATTTAGGAAGTGTAACAGAAGAGCAATCAGAATCTCAGGGAAAAGAGGACACTTCAATGTTAAACAGGAAGCCAAGGCAGGAGTGAGTTTCAAGAAGAAAAATTGTCCAACAGTATCAAAGAAGACTGAGAAAAGGCCATTTGATTTCAGTTTCAGAGTTCATTGTTGACCCTGGATGGAGCGGAAAGCCAGGTTGCCTCAATGGATATACCATGTTTTAATTTAGCCTTGTCTTAGAGGGGTTTTGATACATATATTTCATATGATTTGCTACTTCTAATCTTCTGTGGGCTCATAAATTATATTACCACATTTGTTCCAGTGATGTCTAAATTAAGATTAAAGAAGCCCTGAGTGAAGATCTGTAGGAATCTACTCTAAAAAGTTCATATACTTGAATGTACAGATCTGGGGACATGTTTGGACTTTTTTCTCATTTCCTATTTCTCAGTTGTGTTTCCTATAGGTGAAGTTCATCAAATCATAGGATATGACTGGAAAGGATGTTAGGGAACATCTCCAACACCCTCATTTTACAGTGGGAAATTGAGACTCAGAGAAATTAAGTCGTTTGTGTAAGCTCCCACAATAATCAGCCAGGCTGAGATTTGAGCCTGGGTCTTTTGATTTTAAATCTAATGTTCTTTCTACTGTACTCCCTTGATAAGTGATATCTAGATAAGTGAGATTTTATTATATTATTATCCTATTCTTAAGTTTAGGAAACTGTAGAGAAAATATGACCTGTCCAAATCTTGCCACTAGTCTTTGACTAGAAAAGTTTGTATGCCCAGCCCATTTTCTTTCCAGTAAATTAGACTGCTTATGTATTCAGATAACAATTTGAGATGTTAAGCCATTCATAAATCATTTTCAGCCCTTTGTTCTCTTTAAAGTGAAACACCCAATTGGAAAATGAAAAATTCCTTTATTTAGATGTTTCATGTAAATAAAACATCTGTATGATTGCCTGAATTCTTCACATTTTACCTATGTGCTTGGCTGTCTGGCAAACCGCAGAAGGCAGACTGCAGCCTTCTACTCAAAGAAACCCCTTTGGGTTTCCTCTGGCTCAGAGACACCCTGCAAAAGCCCTGCTGAATATAGAATGTACAGACTGCAGCCAAGACATCCTAAGAGGGGGCTGTGGATATGCATGATTCCTCTAAGTGGCCCAGAGAATATTTAATTATGCCTCAGTTGAACAAATAAAGAGAAATTTATGCCAACAAAGAAAGAAAACAATTTTTAAATGCACACTTGACGAATAGCAACTGTTCTGAGTTAGGTCTGAAAGCTCAGAATTGCTGGGTCTTCATGCTGGTTTGTGCTAACCACGATTTCTTTTCTTTGTCTCTTTTCCCACCAGGGCTTATTTCAAAACTTTTGTCCCTCAGTTCCAGGAGGCTGCCTTTGCCAATGGGAAGCTCTAGGAAACACCAGCCTTAAGAGGACGCCAGCCAGACTTCTCTGTCCACATGCATGTCAGCACATAAGACAGCTTCCTGGAAGCCACTTGGAACATCTTCATGGGAGCATTTTGCTTTGTCAGCAGCTCAGATCACCACAGACAACAATGACTCTGTGGAAGAATCAAGACTGAGTTCTAACCTGAATGTTTCAGCTCCTTTGTTGGCGCCCAGTTTCTTTCTCTATATTTTTTGTCAATCATAACAAGTTAAACCACAATATTAAAATGCAGTCTTTTTCCAGGGCAGGTAATGTGTCACAAGTTCAAATATTATTCTTCCGTATCCTTCGTCCCTGAGATCTCAATAAAATTAAGAATTTTCTCTCATACCAATGTTTTGAATGTATTTCTTTTAAAGTCAAGCAAAAAAAAAACCTTGCTAGTCTAGAGTTAAATTTGTATTAGAAACGGGATGGGCGTGGTGGCACACACCTGTCATCCCTGCTATTATAGGGGGAGATTGAGTCTGGTCAATCACTTGAGCTTAGGAGTTCTGAGCTCCAGTAGGGCTAAGTCTGGCACCAATGAGGTGAGCCTGTGGCAGGGGGATGGCAGCATCAGGCTGCCTGAGGAGGGGCAAACCTGCCCAGGTGAGAAACACAGCAGGTCAAAGTTCCTGTGCCCATCAGCAGTGAGATTGGTCTATGGGTGGCCACTGCCCTCCTAGCCTAAGTAAGAGAGAAGAAAGGAAAAGAAAAAGAAGGGAAAGGGAAAGTAGAGGAGAAAAAGGAAAATAAGCTACTTGTCCTAAACTGACTACCTGGGGGACAACTGAGGAAACCAAAAAATGTATCTTGTCAAGCATGAATAAAGCTGGAGATCTTGAGTTATAATTACAATCCCTCCCTCTTTGGGCTATTAAGAGAATTAAGCAATGTTTGTAAAGTGCCTAGAGACCTGTGGGTACAAGTTAAAGGTCAGATGACGTATCTTATTAAGATTACTTTAGGCTCCGGGCTCAGGCCAGGTGGCTTTATGGTTTTTTGTCTAATAATGGTAGACAGGGAGACTTCAAGCAAGATCCATTTTTCCTAGAGCCATAGGCTGATTGAGACCCTAGAACGAGCACTGAGCACAGTGCTTGCCACATACCAGGTGACCAACGAGTGCTTATTGGTTGATTGATAATCTAGTCCAACCCCTTCATTTTACAAACGGGAAAACTGAGCCTCAGGCACTTACAGTGTGGTGCCTGGCACAAAGTAGATGTTTCATAAAGGCTCATTCTCTTCTCCTTGGCCAAGGTGACAGAGAAGAGCTAAAACCCAGATCTCCTGACTCCTCACCGTGGTGTTTCTTTTCTTCCATTGTAGAGATCCAACTTTATCTAAGTTATTTATAGGGCCACAGATTTAGAGCTCGAGAGAAACTTAGAAGCAAGTCCACCCCCTCATTTTACAGATGAGGAAAATAGGAAGAGAGAAGTTAAACGTGACTGGCCCATGATCACACAGCTAGTAAGGGTCCAAAATGGGATTCTAACCCAAGTCTTCCTGACTCCAAGTCCAACGCCCTAACCACCATACTACACTGCCTTCCTAAGGGCAGTAGCCATCACCATAATGGGTATGGAATGTTCAAGGAAGAGTGACGCCTCTGGTGTGAGGGCTTGCTGAGCCCTTCTCAGGGCTGCTCATCCACCTTTGATGCCCACCTGGCACCTCTCACCTGTGGCTCCAATATAGCATACGCAGCGGCCACGCCCTGGTAAAACCATCTCAGTAGATGGGCTAAACCAGGTTGAGGGTGACTGATGAGCCTCAAACCCTTCAGTGAGTTAGAGGGGTGTCCACCCCCAAGCATGTGAAGACTTTCCCCAGTGGAATGGGCAGATGAGAACAATTTGTTCCAACAGCCATGAAGGCAGCTAAAGCAGGTGCCATGGAGTGCTTAAGCTTGGTCAGACATTGGAGATGCCAAAGTTACCCACTGCATCCCAGGTCATCGCCAGTTGTCTTGACTTTTGTCTTGCCTCTGGACTCCAATGACTGTGGAAGAGAGAGTAAAGATGATGACTGTGCAACTCTGCTTCACTTAAATCCAATGCGCACATGAGTCAGAACATCACGGGGTGATGTCACTGGTGCTCTTCAAAAACGAAGGACAAGGGGCAGTTAGGTGGCGCAGTGGATAGAGCACCAGCCCTGGAGTCCAGAGGACCTGAGTTCAAATCCGGCCTCAGGCACATGATAGTCATTAGCTGTGTGACCCTGGGCAAGTCATTTAACCCCATTGCCTAGCCAAAAAACACAAACAAACAAAAACGAAAGACAATAACAGTCCCCACCGTGGAGCATAAACCCACAACCCTCAGATCATGCTATACCAACAGCCTGGCATTTCCTGTCCTCAGAGATTTGAAGTGATTAGATTCATCACGCCATTCTTTGAATGCTGGTTGTATTCTGTTAAGGATGGCCATACATTTAAGTCCCAATATACCATTGCAACTCTTCATATGTCACTGCTTCTTCAGGGACAAAGGAGAGAATGATCATACCATGAGGACCACAGCAAATAGCAAGCCATCTCCTTCTGGATTATTCTTATCCATGTCTCCCCAAAAATATTCCTTGATAATTGATCTGACATGAAGTTATTCTGGGTCTTTTGTTATTATGTGAGCACAAGTGCAATTCAATCCAACCAATATTTAATAAGTTCTTATTGTGTGGTAGGTTCTAGAGATTATTGTTGGGAGGTTTTTAATCTGGATTTGTGATTTCATTGGTATATAGAGCTAACAGTGAGGCAATCAACCCCTCTACTAATCTAGATCAACAACTGTTGTGCAAGTTAGACTCTATCTGGATAATTGAGAGGGTAAATGACTTGTCCAGAGGCACAGAGCCTGTCAAAGGCAGGACTTGAATCCAGGGCCTTGACTCTGAATCCAGCTCCCTAACTCCTAAATCACATTATGCCCATGGCATTGAGGACAAAAATGAAAGGTCTCTGCCCTCGCGGACCTTGCATTTGACTGGAAGATACAACATGTAAACAGATGAGTAAGCAAATACAAAATGATTTGAAGAGGGAGAGAGTGCTGTCAAATGAGGGAATCAGAAAGTGGAACCTAAGCCAATCCTTGAAGGAAGCAAAGGATTCTAAGAGGAGGGGTTGCATTCCAGGCATGGAGAAGAGCCTGTACAACCCAAATTCTCCTGACTCCAAGTCCAGGCAGGAGGCACGAGATGGAATGCCCAATTCAGGGAATAACAAGATCAGTTTGGCTAGAACATAGATGTGTGAAGGAGGGCAGCATGAAAGGACACACAGAATGTGTTTCACACTAACTGCAGCAATGACCATCTTGCTACATGACTTATTCCAGCCATATTCCTACTAGATTACATCTTTGACGCATCTTCTGGCATGCAATTTAGCTTTAATAGTATGCTACATATAGCCTAGAAGGCTCAGTGGATAGAGCACTGGGCCTGGAGTGAGGAAGACCTGAGCTCAAATCCAGCCTCAGACACTAGCTGTGTGACCCTGGACAAGTCACTTAACCCTGTTTGCCTCAGTTTCCTCATCTGTGAGCTCAGCTGAAGAAGGAAATGGCAAACTACTTCTTTCCCTAAATGGGGTCATGAAGAGTTAGACACAACTAAAATGACTAATCAACAACATATAGCCCACCACACAGGATCATAGATTTAGAGCTGGAACAGACCTTAAACATTATTGAGTCTAATGCCCTCATTTTACAGATGACAAAACCCAAACCCAGAGAGGTGAAGGGATAAGTCACTTAACTTGCATTAACTAAGATGACATGGCTAGTAAGGATCTCAAGCAGGACTTACACTTCTGACTCCAAGTCAAGCATTCTGCATCCTACCCATTAAATCTCCTAGCTAACATACATTTGGGTTACTCACAATTTTGATTCATTGAAGATTTCAGTGCTCCAGAAGTGAAAGGTACATAGTATTAATAATGAGCTTTTGAGCAGAGGGCTTGGGATCACTCAAAGCACTTTATAGTTCCCCCAACACTATCCAGACCTCTCTCTCCTCTTCAATTCTGGGCCCAGCTTATTATCCATCTGTATTGTCTGTCCAAGGAACTGATGGACCAAATCAATAGGATGTCCATCCAACTGTGTATCGTGGTCTAAACAATGAGCTCTCTTCATCGATTTGATTTTTCTTGTGTGGATTGTTAGACCAAACTCTTTTAAGTAGTTGTGCATCAAATTAAGGAAGCTGCATCGTTTTCCAGTTCTGGATATAAATCAAGATGTAATCATTGATATAATCAGTTTGTCATATGCAAACAGGAATGCCTAAAGGACTTCACTATTAGAAATCCCTGTTTGACTTGGACTCTGCATTAGATATTCTCCATAAATACCTGTTTTATGCCTCAATTGATATTAAAAATCAGGACCATTGAACAAAGTCATCTCTGTTGCATCTATCAAAGAATCTTTTGTGATTTTAGCATTCAAGGGATTCTTAGTTGGAAGAGGACTGTTAAAGCACCATAACAAATCCTTTTTTAAAAGTTAACATGCAGTAAACACAAGACTAATAGGCTGTTATGTTCATCATTTGTGTGACTGAATATACAGGCTATAGAAAATCATCTCTGAAAGCCTACCTGTTCCTTTGTCATACTTCTATTAAGGATACCTTTAATAAAATCTGCAGCTCATTTTCATAAAGATTTTATACAAGGGTGAAGCCAAGATGGTGGAGCAGCAGGAAAATGAATAGCAGCCTCACCGCACCAAAAAACAAAACAAAACAAAAAACCTCTAAACATCTAGAACGTGGACCAGACCAAATGCTAATGGGGGGTGGGGAATGTTTGGCCCTGGTTTTTGTGTCCTGCTTCTTTTACACGTGGGTCTGGGATCCAGTAAGTTTTCAATACATCCAAGATGATCTAGGGAGAGTTCTGGTCACCACCCTCCTGGTCTTCACTCTGCTCCTTAACTAGGTAGGGGCCCATGCTCCCTCACAGCCATACGAACACTCCTCCCCATCCTGGAACTGTTACCTGGAACTCGGT